TTTTTTATCACCAATGGCTACTGGTATGAGCTTGGTGTTATGTATGTTAACATTTAAACAGGATAGACCACGAGCTAAATATGTTTTATGGCCTAGAATTGATCAAAAATCAAGTTTTAAATCAATAATCACAGCTGGATTAGAACCAATCGTTATTGAAACTAAAATAATTGGAGATGAATTGAAGACAGATATGCAAAGACTTGAATCTCAAATGGCAGCTTTAGGTGAAAGTGTTGCTTGTGTGCTCACAACAACTAGTTGCTTTGCACCTAGAGCATGTGATTCTGTTGATTCTATTGCAGCACTTTGTACACAATATAACATTCCTCATTTAATAAATAATGCATATGGGTATGTTCATATAAATAATTTTTTTAAATATTTTATATAGAAAAAAATATTCTTTTATTAATAATAAAAACTGAAAAAGTATTCTTTTACAGTTTACAGAGTACAAGATGTATGCATCTAATACAAGAAGCATCGCGTAAGGGTCGTGTTGATGCTTTTGTTCAAAGCACAGATAAAAACTTTCTAGTGCCAGTTGGTGGTGCAATTATTGGTTCATTTGACAAAAATCTTTTAGATCGCATATCAAAAATGTATCCAGGTCGTGCAAGCGCTAGCTCTATTATGGATGTAATGATAACATTATTAAGCTTAGGAATGACAGGTTATAAACAATTAATAACACAACGTAAAGAAATGTATTCATATTTAAAAGAAGAACTTGGAAAATTAGCAGCAAGACATGATGAAAGGTTGCTAGATACTAAAGGAAATCCTATATCAATAGGGATGACTCTTCAATGTTTAAGTCATCAGCATGATAATAAGCAAGTTACAATGTTAGGTTTGATGTTATTTCTTCGCAATGTTAGTGGTACAAGAGTAATAACAACAACAGAATCTAAACATATTGTTTCACATAAATTTGAAGGTATGTGACCAAAAATATGTGACTAGTATATTTGAATAGCAGTTTGAAATTCATTATATTTCTTATTCATTTCATTTAAATCAGGTTGGGGAGCACATAATAGTAATTATCCAGTACCATATTTAACTGCTGCTGCAGCTTTAGGTATGAAGAAATCAGATGTGGATATGTTTATACAACGATTAGATAAAGCTTTGACTAAAGTAAGAAGACGCTCAGCTCCAGTTACACCAACAGCATCTCTTGCTGGATCCAGTATTAATGGAGATGCAGGAGGTACTGGTGGTCCTGGAGAATCTAGTACAGCTTCAACTAGCCGAGCAAGTAGTAAGGATAGTTTGAGAAAATGAACTGTAATCAACGCAACTGGTCAGTCGAATCAGTACATTAATTTGTAAGTAAATTATTACTTACACTTAATACATGTTGCATATTTCTAAAGAAAATGTGGTATTTTTATTTTTTATTTAAATAAATATTTATGTTATTTAATATTTATTTATTTATTTGAAATTTATATCTAAAATATAATTTATTAATAATTTAATTTTTCTTTAGATGAAATTAACTATTAAGAATTTATGTAAATATTTTTAAATTGTTTGCAAATTAAAAATTTAAGTGAAAATATATATGAAAATATATTTTAAAGAGATATGCAACAGTAAAATGTGTTGATTCGCCTGTCCTCTTGCGTTGTAATATTGTCAATTGTCATAAAATAAAATAAAAAAATTCCATATAAACAATATTAACATCAGAATATTTAAAATATTAATTTTCAAAGAAAAAATGTTAGTATATTCTATATGTTCATTTAAAGATATTAAATGGTAAACGTTGGTCAAGATTCTATATTACTTTTTTGTATACATAATCACTTTTTAAACAGTATCAAATATTTGCTTAAAATAAATATTGAGCAATATTTATTAATTTTTATTTTCATTTTATGTAATATTGGATGAGATTTAAATAAAATTAGATTTTATTAATTTATATTTAAAAATATTTTTCTATAAATATATTTTTTTTAAACATATTTTATAAATATTATTTTGAATATTTTTAATATTATTTCAGATAATTTTAGTTATATGAATAATTAACATCATTAAAATTATTTTAATAGTTTTATCCAATATCATATATATATTTTAGTAATTATTACTTTATATTTTAAACAATATATCACAGGTTTTCATTTTTTAAAATAATTTATTTATATTAGGAAATTAAAATAATATAATAAGTTTATTTTCATTTAAAAATAATATAATTCTATCAATGGTCATATAGATATGTTATTACTTGTAAAGAGAGATTTATAATAGATAGAGTACTTGCTTAATCACACTATTATAGGAAGTGTGTACAAAAATTAGAAGCACTATATATAAAAAAGAAATACTCTAAAATCTAAAATCTGTAAATTAAATACAGATATAAACATATTGTTTATGATTTTCAATTTTTTGTTATTATACAAATATTAATTTGTAAACAACATTTTATATATCTATATATATATATACGTTATTATTAATTACAATTTCTTATACAAAAATAAGCAGTATTAACTTTATATTTTTAAAAAAATAATGAACCCATAAAACAAATCAGCAAATTTAAACATATTATATTGCTAAACACAATCATTTTTTTATGTGCATTTTTATGTGCATTTATATTGCATATATAATAATTTATATATGCATATTAAGAAAAGCATGTACTTTGAAAATTCACTTTTGGATAAATTACTCTGTGTCACAATTATTTCTTAATATTTTTAATATATATATTACATCAAATATAATAAGATAAGTCAATTAACATTCAGTACAATATTCAACAAATATAATAAAAGTTAACAAAAATTAAAGAACAAAATTTAAAAACATTTAAATATTTGTGATAATTATTTAAATTAAAACTATTATTGTTATTAATGTAAAAATGTTATTTATGTTTAAAAATTATTATTTATAATTATTTTTTTTTAAATGCTTATAAAATATATATTTTAATTGTTATAAAATCATATTGATTAGATCCTATTATGTAAATATTAACAATATAGTATGTTTGTTAACAATATATTAATATTAGCTCAGAGAAAAGCAATGTAATGTACAAAAATAATTAATAAATTATTTAGATTGTTAAATTTGCAGGAAAATAATCAAAAAAAAAAATTTGCATTGTTATTATTCTTGGTTAGAAATAAAGAAATAATATTTATTAATTTACAAATAAATTTTAAATAATTTTCAGAGAAAAGAAAAAAATAATTTTTGAATTAGAAAATTATAACAGAATTGTTGTTGTTGTTCAGGGTGAATTATATACACTAATGTAGAATGTATTATTATTGTTATAAAATTATTAATAAAAAAAGTAACATAATAAGAATTATAAAAAATATTATAGAATAGTTCATTGTACTTTAATATTGTACTTTATGCTAATGAAATTCCTATGTACATATAAATGTTTTTGATTTTTATATTATGGTTTTTTTAAATATTAATTCTAATGAATATTTTAATTTATTTTATTACTTTTCTATATTATAATTTTATAACAAAATTTTATAATAAAAGATCAAGTTACATACTTTTATATAACGATTTTTATAACAATATACTTTATCAACATTTTTTAATTATTTTGTTATTTATATCTTTTTAATTTTAGATAATATTATTATAGAAAATAAATATAATAAATATATTATTTGGTAAAAATGTTTCACCATTAAAACAGAGTATTATAAACACAATGATATATAATAATTAAATAAGCTCTATTTATTATTCTTTTAAGTTGCAGTTAATGTATACTATTGGCTGTGAAATATTTTATCGAATATATGTTGTAAACTAAGAGAAAATAATTATTCAAAGTTTTACTTGAATTATCTTTAAAAAAATATTTTATTGTTTACTCTTAGTATTTAAAGAAAATCTCTACATTGCTAATATTGTATATATAATATTGTTTTAACAACATTTTTAAGAACAAATATACATATATATAAAATGTTTAACATACTAAAAGTAAACAAATTACATGCGTCTTAACTTATATACAAAGTATTCGCTAATCCCAATATTAAATTCTTCCGATCATAATGCATTCTATTATCTAACCATTTTACACATATACTATATTTATTTAAAATTTAGATAGAAATTAGAAAATGGAAAGTAATGTTATTTAAAAAAAAATTGCTATTAAATTAAACTTATGAAATTAATATTAAATATTTCCATTTGAAAATTTAAACAACATTCCAATATAGTAGTATTATATATTACTAACGAAAAGTATATATATATATATATATATATATACACACACGACTATAAACAGTATAATTATAAGCTCCTCTCCAGTATAATTATCATCTGATAGTTTATGTTTTATTTGTAATATATTTAACTATTGGATAAATAAAAATAAAATAGTTTTATTTAATTCATAATATTATAATACAATATGCATATTATATTAATTATAATATTATATTTATTTAATATAATATTTTATAATTTGATGAATTTATTAATATTTAATTGTATTAATAGAAATAAAATTAATATATTAAAATACACAATATTATATTAAAATACACAATTTAATTTATAAATAATTTGTAATATTATTTTTAAATTTGTATTGAAATCATTTTATCATTCGTTGATAAAATTAATGAAATTATGTAATAGCTTTATCTGTTTGCATAGCTTCTTTAACATGTTTTTCATTTTCCAATCTTTATTTAATATATGATAAAATTCGTGGTCAAATATAACCTGTATGAATACAAATGTATCGAATGTAACGATGAATTAAGAATTAATTTATTATTTATTATATTAATGGAAATTTTGCTGTTATAATAAGAAATATTTTTTATTAATTGAGGTATTTATTATTTTCAATAATTTATTATTATTTTTTTTAATGATTTATATTTTAAAACCTATAAATTATAAACATAGTATTTAAAATAAACTATTGTAAAATAATATTTATGATTTAATAATTTTAGAATATATAGAATGGCAAAAAATAAAATACAAGATAAATTTACAAAATTAAAAAATAGAACTATTAATTCAAAAAAAGAAAATAAATTTAAGATGTCTATATTGAATATTTCAATTACAGTGTTATGTATTGCTATTGCTACTTGGTTTAGTTATAAAGGATATTTAGAAACAAGAGTAAATACTCCATATGATATAAAAAAGGTATATTCTCTTTTATTCCATTAGTTTTCAACTAATAGATAATAAATATTTTATTTTGACTAAAAATTTATTTTTTTTTATTTTTATTAAATTATTTATTATTTTACTAATATTTATTATTTTATTTTTATTAAAAATTTTATTTTAGTTATAAAACTATTAGCTTATTTAAAACTATTATATTATATATACTTATATATAACTAATATATAATTACATATGTTAATAATAGTTAGTTACAATCTCAGGATTGGATATCCCAGATAGATATTGGGGTACTTATCGATCAGGAGTTTATTTTGGATTAAGAACTCGAGATCCACATTCTTTAATAACAGGATTGATGTGGTATTTTCCACATTTGTTAAGGCAAGATGGTAGTGGCCTTAGACACTGGTGTGAACAAAATGATAAACTAGATAAGTAAATAAAATTTATATATTTATTTAATACATTTTGACAATTTTTTATAAAATAATTATATTTTAACATTTATTTAGATATGCATGGATGGAGCATGATGGAAAAACATTTGGTATTCAAGAAATAGTGGATAATTCAGCTATTTTAACTACTACATTTATTAAAACATCTGGTGGTAAACATGGAGGAGATTGGACAACAAGAATTGCTGTAACTTCTAAGAATCAGATACGAGATGGTGAAGAAATATCATTACTTTTCTATACTGCCATGGAAGAAAATGTTAAAGGATGGATTAAAGTTAATTTAAATGATGAAAAACAATTAACAAGTATTGAGGGAAATACTCAAAATTTGGGTTCATTTAGTATAAATCTTAATATGATACAGGGAACTGTAGAAGAACACTCTTTTTTAGTAACAGTTGTTTCTGGTTTAAATGTTTTGAAAGAAACTGTTCTTCAAAATCTTAGAATAGCATCTCACAAAGGATTATCAAAGAAATACATAGTTTTAGCAGGTGAACAAATACCATTATCAGCAGATGGAAAAAAAAGAGATGCAAACTTTATTGCAACACAAGTAACAGGAAGAATTCCTTTTGAAATTGAAATTAGTTATGAATCAGGTAGTTTTATTAATAGAGTTGACAAATTAACTGGTCAAAATTATGATCGTGCTCTAGAAATGCATCGGCAATTATTCGACGAAAAATTTGAGAAAGTCTTTAAATTAAGATCAAAAGGTTTTACAGAAGAAGAAATTAAGTTTGCTAAAATGGCATTATCAAATATGATGGGTTCCATAGGCTATTTCTATGGTAGTTCACAAGTACAAAGTCAATATACTAAAGGACCAGTGCCTTACTGGAAAGCACCTTTGTATACTTCAGTACCTAGTAGAAGCTTTTTTCCACGAGGATTTCTATGGGATGAAGGTTTTCATGGTTTACTTATTTCAATTTGGGATTTAGAAATTGAACTAGATATTATAAATCATTGGTTCGATTTAATGAACATAGAAGGTTGGATTCCAAGAGAAATGATTTTGGGTCAAGAAGCTTTAGCTAAAGTTCCAGAAGAATTTGTAACTCAAATAAATACAAATGCGAATCCACCTACGTTTTTTTTAACATTGCATTTTATACTTAAGCATAAACAAGAAGAAGTATTGAAAAAACATTTTCAATTCTTATATAATTTATATCCTCGTCTTCAAGCATGGTTTAATTGGTTTAATACTACACAAGCTGGAGATATATCAAGTACATATAGATGGCGAGGTAGAGATGGAACAACCAATAAAGAATTAAATCCTAAAACACTTACATCTGGATTTGATGATTATCCAAGAGCTTCTCATCCAAATATCGACGAACGACATGTTGATTTACGTTGTTGGATTGCATTTGCTGCTGATATTATGTATCAGATTAGTGAAATATTAAATCATCCAAATAATAAATACCTAGAAACTTATCACTATTTATCTGATAATGATTTATTAAATAAATTACATTTATCGCCACATACACAAACTTATGCTGATTTCGGATTGCATACAGATAAAGTATTTTTACGAAAATCATCTTCGCCTTCAAGATCACATATACAGCCATCGGAAACAATACGAATTGTTATGGAAGATCCGACTTTAAGATATGTTGATTCATCATTTGGATATGTTTCATTATTTCCATTTATTTTACAAATTATTAATCCTAGATCTCCGCAATTGGGTAAAATATTACAAGATTTAATAAATCCTGATCTATTGTGGACCAAATATGGTTTACGATCACTTGCAAAGATATCACCATTTTATATGAAATATAATACTGAACATGATGCTCCTTATTGGAGAGGAGCTATATGGATAAATTTAAATTATTTAACAGTAAGAGCAGCATATTATTATTCCAATATTGAAGGACCATATAAAAGTGAAGCAAAAAAAATTTATCAAAATTTGAGAAAAAATTTAATACAAAATGTTATAAAACAATATAAAAAATCTGGATATATATGGGAAAATTATGGTGATATTCATGGAGAAGGTAAAAATAGTCATCCATTCACTGGTTGGACATCTCTAGTTGTACTACTTATGGCAGAAATTTATTAATTGTAAAATTGTATTATAAATAATTTCATTTATATGTATATTATTTTATTAATAGTAAAATTAAAAAATATTGCTGGGGATATTTTATATAAAGGATATATAAAATAAATCAGGATTTATATAAAATAAATATTACTAATGTGAATATTGACTATATTATTGTTATGCATACAAATGTGATAATATCTGTAAATTATTATAATCACTTATGAATATTTTTTTGTAATAAATAGAAAAATATTTTGTAACACAAAATATTTATTCATATACATATATAATAATCATATAAAATTAATTATCTATGAAATTTAATAGTAATTTTAATAGTGATCTCAAATAATATCATCAAATTGTATATTTTTACATTTTATATTTTTATATTTTATATTTTTATATTTTTATATTTTTATATTTTATAATAATTTTCTAATTATATATGATATATGATAATTATAAATTATTTAAATAAGTATTAAAATAAATTCTTAGTTTATGTTTAAATTATGTATAAGTTTTATATTTTTAAATTATAATAATTTTATTAAATATAATTATTGTATTTTCTAAAATTTAAGCAATAAGAAAAAACAATTTTAAAAATAATGTAATCAAATAAATTTCTGAAATCTTGGCTATAAAAAAATAATACTATAATATTGTAATAAATTACTTTAAAAATAAAAATTTTGAAATTAAAATTTAAAGTAAATGTGATTTTTTAATAAGTATTTTATTAATATTTATAATTAATACTTTTATTATGTATAATAGTTTAATAAATATTTAATAAATTTATACATATATAATAATAATAAATGTATATATATATATACATTTTAAGAAATTAAAAAAAATATATAATAAAAGAAAAAATTAATAAAAGATAAAACTTTATTATTTATTTCTGAATTTGCTAACAAACTTGAATAAGCTATTGGCAAACCTGCTAGTAACTAGTAACTACTTTTATTTCTCTTAGCTGTAAATAACTGTCTTTAGACCTCACCAAAGAATAGGTGTGCGATTGTGGGGTTACAGTTGTGAATTTGTATAGTTTTTATATAAAATAGTGAAATTTTTAGATAATTATGGAGCCATATGATGTAATAATTAATCAACCCGTAGTTATCGATAACGTAAGTAATACATAAAAATTTGTAATCTTTAAACATTTTTTTTTTCCTTTATATCGATGTGTCAAATTGAATTCTACCATAATGTCGGCTTTTCTAACGCTAATAATTTCATATTTTTTCTTTAAAATTATGATTATTATTTCTATATATAATCATTTAATATTTTAATAATTTATATAATCTTTTTATATTTATTTTATATCATTTTTATTATATTAATATTTTAATATTCAAATATGTTATGTATATTAAAATTGATCTATTAAAAATAATTACTATAGTTTAAAATCAATAATGATTCAATGATGATACTATATAATTCATTTTCTTAGGGTTCTGGTGTAATTAAAGCAGGATTTGCAGGTGATCAAATACCAAAATGCAGATTTCCAAATTAGTAAGTATATATATATATATATTTTAATACTATTGTACTATCATAGAATTAATTGACAAATAGTAAAATAAAATCAAATATAAGTTCTTAATATTTTTATTTTTAATTAATAATATTGCTTAATTTTTAGTCTATGATATTATTCTAATTAAATTGATAATTTTTTCTAGTATTGGTAGACCCAAACATATACGTGTTATGGCTGGTGCTTTAGAAGGAGATCTTTTTGTGGGTCCAATAGCAGAGGAACATCGTGGTCTCTTATCTCTTCGTTATCCAATGGAACATGGAGTTGTTACAGATTGGAATGATATGGAAAGAATTTGGTCTTATGTTTATAGTAAAGATCAATTAGCAACATTTAGCGAAGAACATCCAGTTTTATTAACAGAAGCACCTCTTAATCCAAGAAAAAATAGAGAAAAAGCTGCAGAAATATTCTTTGATACATTTAATGTTCCAGCATTATTTGTTTCAATGCAAGCTGTACTTAGTCTGTAGGTATTCAGTTATAATGGATTTACAATTTTATTTATGTTATGATGTTTTATATGTTTTAATACTGTTAAAATTAAATGTTGAATAATATTTTTATTATGTGAATTTAATTTAAAGATATGCCACAGGAAGAACTACAGGAGTAGTTTTAGACGCTGGAGATGGTGTAACACATGCAGTACCTATTTATGAAGGTTTTGCTATGCCTCATAGTATTATGAGAGTTGATATAGCAGGACGTGATGTCACAAGACATCTTCGACTACTTTTACGTAAAGAGGGTATTAATTTCAGAACTACAGCGGAATTTGAAATTGTTAGAACAATTAAGGAAAGAGCATGTTATCTTGCTAGCAATCCTCAAAAAGAAGAAACTATTGAAACAGAGAAATTCCAATATGTATTACCTGATGGAAGTTACTTAGAAGTAATAATTTATGTTATTTTTTAAAAGTACTTGTTATTTATTCTATTTATTTGAATGATTTGATTGACAATATCTTTTAAATTTATATGAAAATTTTTTATGTAAGTTATATGAAAATATATAATATATTTAGAATATATTTTTTTATAATAGATTGGTCCAGCACGATTTAGAGCTCCTGAAGTGCTTTTTAGACCAGATCTAATTGGAGAAGAATGTGAAGGACTTCATGAAGTACTAACATATTCCATTCAAAAGTCTGATTTAGACTTAAGGAAAGTATTATTTCAAAATATTGTTCTATCAGGAGGATCAACACTATTCCGTGTAAGTATAAAATTAATGAAATTTTTTATAGTATTTTTTTTATTATAATAGTTATATAAGTATTAATATATAAAGAATTAAATTTTAGAATCATTATAAATATTTTTATTTTGTGTTAGGGATTTGGTGATAGATTATTATCAGAAATTCGTAAAATGGCACCAAAAGATATAAAAATTAGGGTATGTAATATTATATAATAAATATTATCTTATATTTAATTTCTTTTATTAAAAATGTTTAAATTCAAACATATAGATATCAGCTCCTCAAGAACGATTATATAGTACATGGATTGGAGGTTCTATTTTGGCTTCTTTAGATACTTTTAAAAAAATGTGGGTTAGTAAAAGAGAATATGAAGAAGACGGTATAAGAGCAATTCATCGCAAGACATTTTGAATTTAATTCAAAATGATTTATATCATGTCAAATAATTTAAGTACAACATATAAATAATGGCACAGTCGGTATCAGATTCGACATGTACCGTATTAACTATGCTCTTTGGATGCTTTTAATATTGCAATTTTTTTTTAAATATTGCTTCAACTTCTTTTACACGAAAATATATTCCAAGGAATCATAAAATGTTCATATTCCATAAATTAGAATAGGAAAACATAATACAAAAAACAATATAATAAAATTTACTTACTTATACTCAATAATTTAATTTTCTCAATAATTTAAAATTTTTTATATGCAAATATTTATTTAGTTATAATTTTTAAAATAAAATTTTTATTATATTTTTAAGCAATTTCATTAAGATTCCTTGGAAATGTACATAAAAGTTTTCAAAGTTAGATACATTTTAACTTTCGAAGTTAAATGTACTTCGAAATAAAACTAAGTAATATGTTTAATAATAATGAAATTATTTCTTTCAAAATATCATCTTTCTAAGTTATAAATTTGTTTTTTTATACTATTTATAATTTTATATTTAATATAACAAAAATAGGATTTTATTAAAACAAATATAAAATGCTTTGATTAACAAAGTTATCGTTATAAAGAATATAATGTAATTTCTATTTATAGTAACAATTTTGCAAACTATTTGTAAATATGTATGCTTTGGTAAAATAAATCTATAAACTCTTTACATATGTACTGATTATATCAGTTTTGATGATGAAATAATAATTGCAAATTTATATTCTATATATAATTTCGTATATAACAAATATATAATAGAATATGTAATTACATAATAGAATTAAAAAATTTGAAATTATTTGATAGTAATTTATTGTAAAAATATTAAAAATATATCAAAAAATACTTGAGTTTTTTTTAACAATCATAAAATCATCGAAATGTTATTATTTACGATTATATTTTCTTTAAATATATTTTTATATTTATAAAAAAGATTTATAATTTTGTGTAATAATTTTTTTATAATTTTGTTATTGTTATATTTATATTTTACACATTTAATTTATTAATTAGGCTATATATTTTATTTATATTTTATATCTTATTTTGTTTACTATCACATTATTATTATAAATAATGAATTATAAATAATCAGTATTGTAAATGTAACAAATATAACAATATTTATATTGTTTATTTTTATAATAAAATAATAAATTATTATTGGTACAAATTATATCAATTAAATGTGGAAAATATATTTTTAAATAAACAGTATAATCCTATATTTTCAATTAAGAGTTTAAAATGTTTAATTTTATATAAAATTTATATATGTATATATATCTATATACCTATATAATAAATAAGTAATCGAATATGGCGATGCCTATGGTGACGCATCGTTTAGTAACATCTTATTTGTACAAATATTTTCAAATAATTTTAATAGACAATCTAAAATAAATATTGTTATATTGTTTTCTTATTTCTTAATAATTAGAATCTGCAAATCTGGATGAAACTAAGGAAAAGATGATCGCCGCCTCAGAACCGGTGGTAAATTAAATATTTTTTAGGTTATGATATAATTAATAAACATATGTAATTATAACTTTAAAAAGTACTGTTATTTTTTAATATTGAAAATACTTATTAATTTAAATAAATAACTTACTTATTCATTTTCAACTTTATATATTTTTATAAGGAATATATTCCTGGTGGAAGACAAATAATTTTACGACATCCTGAATCAGCGACTAATCAACAATTATCAAACAATCAAACAGTTGAAGGAGAAAGTATTTTATTACAAAAATTTAGTCAAGTAAACATTTCAGAAACTTTACCAGTAAGTATAATCATTTTATATATTAGTATTTCAAATATTTAAAGTTTATAATATATATAATTTTTATTTATTTACTATAAATGTAGAAGGAATTTTGGATTGTACGTGAAAATGATACATGTGGTGAAGAAGAATTATATTGTTCTGGCAAAATTGCAATTCATTCAAAGGGTAATCAAACTACAAGAATATTGCAAA